AAAAATTATGAGTTGAAATTGTTTTCTTCCTCCTGTTGCTGTTGTTTCGTTCTCTTTCACTCCAGGACCCATTTTTAAAGTATCCCTTAAAAACAAACAAGTGAAGCCCAACCAGTAAGGAACCAGTGAAACTGTAGAAAATAATCCTGAAAATGAAAGGAAACAGACACATAAAGGCCATCAGAAGCGGTAATACACAACAAATACTCAAAAACTATAACGGTATAATAAATTATGATATCTTTGTGCAGTATGAAAAAATTTAACAATTTAACACTAAGTTTTGTACAGAATTTCTTCTACTTTTCCTCTAAAATGTCCTGTTTTCTTCCACTACACTCAACTGTCAGTAGGAGCAGGTCAGTCTTTTATTTGTGATAAAATTAAAATGGCAAAGTTCATTCCCATTCAAAAGTAGTTGGCTAAGATTTGTTGAGGTTGGTCCTTGAAATCACATTGTTTTAGAGATTTGATTGAATTCTGTTGAAGGTTGAACTGTAAGCATTGTCTGATTGGTGGAATCGTCACGTCCAAGTTTGCTGATGTTATTAGAGCTCAGATCCAACTCGATAGATTCCTTGTGGCAGCTGGGACAGATGAAAGCTTGTTGCGACTCAGACTAAAGAGTCTTGAAATCTGAAGAGATCTGAAAGCTTTTCTAACCCAGTTACATGAATGCACAACTTAAACAAATCTAAACCGACAAAACTGACCCTGACCCTTGTAAATCACAGGCTGTATTATAAAGTGTTACCAAACAATATGACGAACGGCGAATAACAGTTTCTGATACTTACTGCGTCACACAAAGAAGAGCTGCTTCGTCACTGATCTCCGATCCACAGGATCTTGTAGTTTAATTATCTTCCTTTGTTCGAATGAAATGAAAATATCCTTTTTAACATCCAGTGAGCATGAGAAAAATAGTTCGTCTTGCTCTGTGGCTCTAAAGCTTTCCTCTGTTCAGCATCTCTTCTCTTTTTCATGGATCAACTGAGGAAGTGAGAGTAGCTTACAGGGTTGGGTATCTTTGAAATTTACAGTTCATTCAAGCCTCTCAGCATTTAATAAGATATTCAAGAGACATGTTAAATATGTAATGATAAAATAATTATCTTGTTAGCATTTTCAGAATGCTGAATTCACCATCATCTACTTGGATTTTATAGAAACTTAACTATATTGTTTTTATGTATTTTTACAATGCAGTGCCAGTGTGTTGACATACAGTAATACATTTCTGTGAAAAACAATAGACAAATACAACAAATACAAATGGCTTAGATGTTAATGTCAATTACCTTTTATGAACATTCATAGGCTGATCTCTACTACTCTTGTACATGTTGTACAAAGGCTGTGAATTTCACCACTTCCTCTAAAAAGCCCAATAATGATTATCACGAATCAAGAGTCCGTCAAAACCAGCACTTCCTCTTTTCTGCCGCTTTATAGTTATAGTACCTACAGCTGGAGAAAATATGGACTGAGTAATTTTACTGCTCAAGCTCATTAAAACAACGCTGGGAAGAGGTGAATTAGTAAACAGGTGCAAATTGACCGTTTGTAATTACACTGATGGTGATTATTTTCAGCGTAATGCTGCAGGTGCGTTCACAAGAGATGGGGTTTAGGCATTAAAGATGGCATCGTGTATTTGCTCCTATTATGCATCTAAATGAAACATCGACGCAGTGGTGGAAGGTTACTACGTACACTTACATTAATGCTGTACTTAAGTTACATTTCAAGGTACTTTTGCTTTAGTTGATGGAACTGGACTCAAAGATGGCACCCACTCGCTTGAGTTAATTTTTTTTTTTTTTTTAAGCCAAAGAGACCCTTCAATTTAATATATACTGTATTTCAAATGATGTCACTGAAGGAAAAGTTTACTCCTCCGTGCGGCCGATTTACATCATACAACAGTGACTCAACCTTGCTTCAGAAAAAATCCCTGTCTGAGATTGTCTGGGAAACATGCGATATTGCAATCAGTGAAATGTTTTACACTTTAGCATCTGATGGAAATGAATAGAAAAAGAATTGCTGGTTTTTACTTGCTAACCTTTTTCTTCTCCATCACAGTGTCCTCACTAATCAACTGTGCTGTAGTTATTCTCGTTCTATGGGAGATTTCTTTCATAAATGAATATATATGATCCTCTGTAATGTCTAAAACTATAGATGTATCACATATACACTTGCGTGTGGTCACAGAATAAGAGCATGATTTATTTAGGGAATTAAACCTTCCACTTTCCCTCTGTATCTCGTAGCTGCCACCTTTATGGGTTTTATGAGTGTTTACATATTCTCGAATCCCCTTTTCAACTTCCCTATTCACGTATTATTAATCACTTGTTCCTTGACTGAGTAAATGATTTGTGTGTCATTGTGTCAGTTACAACATTTCTGTAAACTTAAGATTGTGAGCAATGACTGTAAGAATACAGGTGACCCTCAAACTTTTAATAGCTTTAAGTGGTCAAAGTCATTGGTCCCTAAACAGCATCAAAATAATTGAACATGTGAAACAATAATAGTCAAAAAAAAAAAAAAAAAGTAAGGAGTTGCATTATTTTGTTTCCCCCAGTATTTCACAAGTTCTGTACAGATAAATGGGGCAATGGTGTTCGTAGGTGATGAAATCTTGATTTCTACATTTGTGATCATGATCAGCAGCTGACTATGTGTAAAGTATGGACATGAGAGCTGAATCAATCTCCTCATCTTATTTCTAGGACGAAGAGTCTTAGAAAAAGACTTGGAGACTTAGAAAAACTTGCACAAGATTTTATTTCCACACTGCTTTTGATGGTGTTTTTCCTCAGGTCTCCTTACCAAAAAACTGTCTGGCAACTTTCAGCTTAAAGTTCCGAAAAACACATCACATCAAATCTCATGTCTCTGCCCCTTGTTTCCAGTAGTTGCAGAGCTTAACGCCCTCCTCTTGCTCTCTTTCACGATAACTATCATCAGCTTCGCTTGTCGCCAGCAGAGGTCTCAGTTGGGAAAGGAAACTCTTGCCGTCCTGGTTCTGTTCGCTGGATTACAGCCTCAGTATCTACTGTATGAGCATACATCCACCTACAGAGGAGATGACGCAGCAGTGAATCAAATCAAAAGAAACCAGACCTGATGTTTATCTCCAGCACTTCTTGCCAGTTCCTTTTTGTCAAAGCTAAACTGTGTGTGCAGTGTACTTGGTTCTCCTTTAACACACACACACACACACACACACACATACTAGTGCAACACAATAAATCTTTAATGATTTGATTGAATTGAATAATGCTCTCATCATACTCTCATTATATGGCCACACTGACTCAAATTACTACAGCGTGTTAAGTTAATATCCCACTGGTGAGCATAAATATGTATAAGAATTCATTAGTGAGACTTGGAAGAGCTTTATTCACCTCTGTAAGAAAAATGTGGGACGATGTACAATTACTGCAGCACTGGAAATAAAGCTAGGAAGGGGAATATGTCACCATGTGGTAGTGTGATGAGAATTCTTATAAATGAAAACGTGGACGTAAGATTAACGGTGTGTTTTGCCAAAAAAAGTTACGAAAGCAACATTTTCTTATTTACCTCGAGCAGTATCTGGGTAGTTTTGGTTGAATTTGTCGACAGGTTGTTCATACTTTTTGTTCAATTTGAAATAATATCAAAGTAACATTAAGGTGCCAAGTCTCAGCTTTGATTTGACTCGGTTTACATGAATATAGAAAGGACTGTGGGGGAGATACATCCGTTTGAATTGTAAGAGTGATTCCGTGAAATTCTCTGCCATCAATGACGGCCTGAAGTCTTTGACCCAGACATCAGCAGACTTTTAGTTTCTTAGCTCTTCTTGTCTTCTTCACTGCAGCCTCCTTCAGGATCTTCACCCTTCAAGACAAACTCAGCTCCACCAGGTTGAGATCAGTCACGCCGTCACGTGGAGGTCGGTTGTCCTGCTGAATGATTTAAAAGTCGTCCAGTGAGTTTCGATGCGTTCGGTTGAATCTTGAGCTCAGGGAGAAACGCTCCTGTACGTTCCTCTGCATTCAAGCCCGTTGCTTCCCTCCGTCACCAGAGACATCGTCAATAAATGCCAGCGTGCCAGCTCCACTGCCAGTAACAGAACCAGCACCATGTTTGACAGATGAGGTGGAGGCTTTGGGTCATGAGCTGTTCCCTTTTTCTTTTCTTTTTTTCTCTCTCCACGGTTTCCTCTTTCCATCATGTTGATAGAGGTTAACTTTCATTTTTGTTCCAGAGCTCTGTCAGTTTCTTCTTGTGTGGTTTTTTTTTGTGTGTGAACTGCAGCCTGGCCTCTTTAGGGTTTAACATTTTTTTTTTTTTTTGTGCAACACAGTGTAAGAACTCACATCTGCCCAAGAAACATTCAGTAACTGAGTGTCCACTTACTTTTGAACCCTTTTGCAATTAGGGCACTGTGTGTTTTACAGGGCTGAGACTTGGCACTTTAATGTTTGTTTACTTTCAAATTGGAAGAGCAAAAGGAACCAACAAAAAAAAAAAAAAAATGTGGAAGTGTCCAGATAGTAATGGTCTGGACTGTTTATATTCCATCACTGTGAATAAATGTGATGTGAAACAGGTGCAAGAGAGAAAGAAGGAAAGAGTTTGAAGCTCCAGTGAAATGATGGAGGTGTGGAGGTGGAGACGTTGGCTGAGGATTCATTAACTTTCCTCACACAGTATAAAGTGTGTAGGTACTCCGTATTTTCACGTCCCCAGAGGCTCTCTCTCTCTCTCTCTCTCTCTCTCTCTCTCTCTCTCTCTCTCTCTCTCTCTCTCTCACACACACACACACACACACACACACACACACACACACACACACACACACACACTTATGCCCTGATTAAACATCTTCTGAGAATATCTTTCCCCCATATCTCCTCATATCTGCATGGTTATATCGCTCCAGAGGGAAATACACTGATATATAGTGCGCGCGGAGCCACCCACAGGGCGCGTGCACGGTTTAATCATATCGAGAGAGAGAGAGAGAGAGATGCTGTCGGATGTGGAGTCCGGTGTGACTTCTCTATCCTACACTGCTGCTGTCGGTAACGGAGCGGCTGCGCACACACCTACACACACACACACACACATACACACACTCACACTCTCTCCTCTCTATCACACACACAGCAACCAAGTAAAGCAGTGTACTTGGTTCTCCTTTAACACACGCGCGCGCGCGCACACACACACACACACACACACACACACACACACTGGGAGCCAGGACTGGTGCACTGGGAAGAAGGGAGTGAAGAGAGAGAGGGAGAGGGGAGAGAGAGAGCAAGAGAGAGAGAGCAAGAGAGAGAGAGAGAGAGAGAGAGAGAGAGAGACAGGCGACACATGTCAGACCGGATCGAGCAGGGGAATGTACCGGATTCCGCTGCACACACGCCCGGGCTGTCCCGCACTGAGGGCTGCGCTTCGTTAACGGGACACGACACCGGGCTGAGCCAGAGGCGACAGGGGGACCGGACCGGGATAGTGTAAAAAATAAAAAATAAAAATAGGAGTCACCTGGCTGCGGAGGAGGGAGGGAGGGAAGGAACGCAGGGAGGGAAGGAGGAGGGCGGGAGGGTCGGGGGGGAGGTGTGCCAGGCTGACAGCGCTTTGTTTTGGGTTAACGACACCGCTTGCGCGCAACGGAGAGTCAGCGCAAAGTTTCCTCGATGGCGCTGGTGATGGAGCCGGTGAGCAAATGGAGCACGAGCCAGGTGGTGGACTGGATGAAAGGTAGGCTTTAGAAACACACACATACACGCACACAGTCACACATGCACGCTCAACACATCTCTAATGAACACGATCAATTAATAGACTGAAACCTCTAGAATGACACACCTGGTTGCGCAGAAACACAGTGATGAACATGACTGATGATCATTAACGCAGGCGAGACGGAGGCTGGTAGGATGTTATGTTGCGTGGGAGGTGTGCGTGTGCGTGTGTGCGTGTGTGTGTGGTGTGTGCAGTGTGTGGTGTGTCCATGCATCATCCTAGCACCTGATGATCAGTGGGTGATGATGTAATGTGTAAGTGACTGGAGGACAAGCAGCCAAACTTCAGTGCTGAGAGCAGGGCCGGGGGTAGAAACTTTGGATGAGGGGGCCGGAGTGGGGCACGGATTCAATGAAGGGGGGGCCCATCTGGGAGATGACTAAGAAAGGCCTGGTTATTGGTAATAACAAACTGTAGATACATTATTTATTTGGTGTAATACATGAGCGTTAAAGCAGGAGCAAGACGCCCAGACTGAGAGGGAAATGATCTTTGTTCTCCTTTCATGTCTATTTGCATTTCGTTTCTGTTTTGTATCTCTTTGTAGTCATTTTGTGCAATTTGGTGTCTCTTTGTAGTGGTGAAGCATCACTCTGTGGTCATTTTTCATGTCTTTGTGGTCTTTTGGTTGCTGTGGTCGTTCATTTTGTCAATACTTTTAGTGCCTTACGTAATTTGTGGTTGTTTTTGCATCTCTTTGTGGTGGTTTTGTGTCGCGTAGTGCACCATGCATCACTTTCTAATCATTTTACATCTGTTTATGGCCTTTTTGCATCTGTTTGCTGTTGTTTTGTGTCTCTTTGAGTTTCCAGCGCAAGAGTTGCCCCATATAGAGGTTCTGAACAAGTTCTTACTCTGGGGGGGGGGGGGGCATCAGGGGGGCCTTTGCCCCTCCTCTGGCTCTGCCTCTGACAGACAGGAGACTTTTAACATGAGACGACTGACAAAACAGGATTGAGGTCAATTCATCCATCCTGTAAGACTGACTATGTAAAGTCCTATCCCCTCAAGTGCTGTCAAACCGAGATTAGTGGGTGAGAAGCAGTACAGAGTCTTTAAGGAGAAAAAAAAAATGTCAATTAAAAACACACAAAAAGTCTAAATTAGTGTTTTAGTATTTATCAGAAAGAGTAATTGAGTTTTGTTTATAACAGTGTTTGTGATATCTCGCAGTGATCAGACCAGAGATTATGGTCATGCATAATTCAGCAGGCAGGCTGATTAGGTCTGTACCCAGCGGCCTGAGCGAACATCGTAAAACTCCTTTACACATTAAAAAAAGAATGACTGTTGCTGATACATTGTGTGTTCCAGCCTCCACGCTGCTGTTTGACAGTGCAGCATTGTTGTTCCTGTGGATAAAGACCCAGTGTAGACAATGTGACTGACAGATTTCCTGCATTTGACACAATAAAATACTCAAAAAATCTTCAACAATGAACATCGAGTTTTGAAAAGAAGAAACTTTCCCTTTAGGCTCTAGGTTTTGCACCAATTATAATTTGTTCCTCTTTTAATTTACCTCTCATAAAACACATTCAGAACGACTTGTTGCCAACATAATTACAACATTTTGTATGTTGGTAACAACTCCATTTGGCTCAACATCCAGTGCCAATATCACACAGGCTTCCCCAAAAACACCTGCCAAAAGGAGACCTGCCACACTTAAGAGCAGTCCAATGATGAGAGTTATTATCTTACCTCATTTAGTTTCAATTAAGAGCCAAGTTTTAGCTGAGGTGCCAATGGCATAACTTCCATTTTAAAAAAAGTAATCTACTGTATATCCAGTTCTGCCAAAATAACAACTGTATGAAGGTCATTCCGAACTTTCTGGGAGGGTGTATCCAGTTCATAAAAGCAATTTGGGCTCATACAGAGGCTATAATTCTTGCTTTGGTAGCAGTGAATAATGCCATCATATCCTAAAATCTCCTCCCAGTTTCCCAGCTGTTGGCGTTTTTGAAACTAAACTCAGAGCTGGAAGGAAATTTATGGGATCTGGGGGAGTTACTAGGTGCTAAAACAAAATTGGGGGTTGTGATACCCCACCAAAAATCTATATTTTTAGTATCAAACACTCCCAAATGGTGGTTGTAAAAATGCTGTAGTTTTTGGAAAATGGAGGCTGTGGTCAACTCTGATTCACAACAGTTATAATAAGCTCCAGTTGATATTTTTCGCAGCAGACATTTTGACTTGTTGACAAGCAGGAAAAGCAAACGTGAAACAAATTATATCCGCAATGGCGCCAGTTGGAAGGTAGTTTTGTAAAAAAAACAACCGGCTGATATTGTTGTAAAAGATGCAGAGAAACGTTCTTATTGCCACTATTAATCGCAGAAATGTAGTTTGTCTGGTTGCTCAGCTCTCGCATCAGCTGTTGCTCTCTCCTCACGACATCAGGGTCTGTAATTTACTGGCTGTCCTCGTTGCTCAACTGAACGCTTCTTGCTTGAGATGTTAATATAAGCTTATTGTGGGCCCTTCTTTTTTTACAGTCTTCTAACATTTCTTCTACGCGTCAGTGTCGTCAACATTCATTTAGCTTTCAGCCATTCTTGTTCCTGCTGGACATGGTTAGGACACACGTCAGTAGGTCATTAGATCAATAGTATCATGGTATGATATATTTTTATCACATTAAAAATGATACCATGTTGTTAGTTTTCCAAAACTTCCTGCTTTTTCACTGTTGTTGCTTGTTATTTCTGTGAGGTTTTAATGCATCATCCAACAGAAGTCTATTAAAAAAAATACTGGCCCAGCAAAGTCAAAAAATACCACCTACTGTATGACAAATTGTTTTATGTTTGAATTTGACCTTTTGACCTTTTACAGCACTCTCATCAGGACGATCAGTGGTGCCAACATTCATCATCGCTCCATGTTTCATACCACATCTATCAAACACAGCCTGATGCAAAGTCCCACCCTCCACATAAACTGAGAAAAAATGATTAATAATAACTAATATTAGAAATAATTGTTATTCATCATGTCTGTTTCGTGCATAAAAAGCAGGTCAAGCATCTATTGACTCACATGCTTCAATAAAATGCAAATGTAAATTGTGACAAAGACTTATTTACATGATGTACTGTGTCACTTTCTCAGAGCCTCATCATTGGATGGGTTATTGGTTGGTCATGTGCATATGGCATGTGTTTATTAGTGCCCCTGTGTGTGTGTGTGTGTGTGTGTGTGTGTGTGGGTGCAGTCAGTGTGTGTGGGTGTATGGTGAGTTGTTCGCCTCAGACCGTCTGTGCAGAACAGCTGACAGACACACACACACATACACACACACACACCCGCTCTGAACAGAAGGCTCCACCCGGGTCCTCGGACATTTGGTTGCACACTCACACACACACTCACACACACACACACACACACACACACACACACACACACACACACACACACTTACATATACACACAACACACGTGGCATGCCTTAGTGTGGTATTCGGTTCATGCTGGGTCTCTCGGGTGTGTCTGTGGCGACAGAAGGAAACATGATATACTGTATTTGTATACTGTGTGTGTGTGTGTGTGTGTGTGTGTATATATGTGTGAGTGTGTGTACAATAACATATACAGATCACATATACCACAGGCGCTTGAGGCCAGAAGGTCTGGCCATTGTTGACTTGGCGACAGTGTTGCAATGGCACGACTGAGGCTGAAACAATATGGGAGTGGTAGACTTCAATAGTAATATGAGAACTTACTGTACATTGCTGGGGATGGTGGGAATTTGTGCCATGTGCCCTGCTATCATCTGCTCATGCAGGAAGCCGTACCTCATTTCCCTTGCATGAATTTGATCGCTAGTCTTGAAAATCAGCAGTGAAACTGCCGCGACAGCACCGTGAGCACATCTGATGACACCTCTTACCACAAGAGAAAGCTGCCAGATAGTGACAGCCTGTAGGATCAGAGGATGTTTGGTCTGTGGGCTTGATCTTTTTTAGACTTTTTAAATTAAAGGTGAGACATGACAAGACTCATGAGGATTTATGTTACTTAAAACATCCGTCAGTTTGTGTGTCTACTGAGCAAACGTGTGGTGCTTTGGGAAATTTTGGTTTGAAGTGTTTCGGTCACTCGGTGGCCAAAGAGTCCAGGCAGGCCTCTAAATGTTACTCCAGCGTGATACAGCTCTGGGTTTACATACTCAGCGATAAAGCTGAGTGTTATGTTCAATGATTTTCTTATTTTAAACCCGATTGCTGCCGCAGCACTCAACAGGAAGAACAATTAGAGTCAAAGTAAGGGGTTTAGAAAGCCTCCTAAATGGAGACAATTTACCGTTGTCATTTCCACAGTTTGGTACATGCACTTAAAGATTAAAAGACAAGTCTATCATTTGGAGGTAGAAGAACAATGCTGCTTCTTTATTTCCATGTCTTCGAGACAGACAGATAGATAGATATACTTTTTTAAATTCAGGAAAACATCCCATCATATGGGACCCAACTTCCGCTGTTAGCTTTAGCCGCAGTCTTTTAGCATGATATCATGCATATTCAAGACCCCCTTTACAGGTTTTGTTTTAAAAGACTTACGTTAGCTTAACCAGCTACAGTTTGTTAGGTTTTTTTTCCAACATCTGTCTGAAATCAAGGACCAGTTGCCTCTAAAAATTACTAAGAATTTCAAGTGGTAAATCTGCCAATAATATTGCATGCTGCGTATGCTGTATGAGAACGACAAGCTAACATAAACTAACAGGTGAGCTACAGGAAGCAGTCAGTGCTGAGCAGGTAGTGTACAATGAATTAATGAATGGGTTGTTTTTATTTCTGAAAACAGCTGTCTGCTGCAGAATGGTGGGAGTAAGGCCAGTTAAACTGTAGGTTGTAACGCCAAAACAAATAAGCTTAAAGATGGAGAAACATTTGTCAGTATTGGCGACACCTTTGACATTTGACACAAAATGTGTGGTC